GGGGAGTCGTAAAGAAGAACATGAGATGGCAGCTGCCAGGAGGCTTACTCAGCCACTGACCAACATGATGTTATTTGCAAGCAATAATTCATAATGCAGGGTGATAATAATGAGCTGCTAAATGGTATGTTAGCAAAAAGAAGAAGAACCTCCCTAACGAGTTAGAAAAGAAATCAGAAAAAACTGGCGTGTGTGTGTGTGTGTGTGTGTGTTTGCAAGTATGTATGAATAAATGATGTTTGAACAATTAGAAAACGGGGACCCTACGGATTAGCAGGCAGGATTGTAAATGATAGATGAAGTTTCCAGAAACAGAAGTAGGACATCAGTAGCCACAAACCAAGTTTGAGAGTGGGCTGCATGCTGGGAATCACAGTTAAGGCATCTTTCTTTGACCTTATGAAAGAAAAAACTCTGTTTTAAATTGAAAAACTACACTACGTTTTATTAACTATTGTTATTGTTTAATTAATTCCCAGGCTCTTTATCAAGAAGATACTTTTGTTTTTACTTACCTTACGAAGTTAAATCATAATAAATACTTGCCTCCAACCAATGAAATGCTAATTCATGTACTCAGCAGAGAAATCACTATAATGTTGGCCTAAACTCTTCACCCTACAATCCCCAGACCCCCTCACTGGAGGACACGAATTAATGAGCTACATAAAACCTTGCAACATTGTATTCTTGGTATGGGCTTATGAGACAAATATCCAAGTAAAAGGTTAAAACAAGAAAATACTTAGGAAGTCTAATTGTGTTTGAGGGATTAAAAATTGGCTTCCTACATTGTTGTGTTAAGGCTCAACAGTTCTGTAGACCCACACACCTGAGGACCCCGAGACCTGAGAGCTAGGGTAAGTGACGCCCTTTGACTGGCAGTTAAAATAACGAACAAGCAAGATTCTACTAGTTCTCAAGAGCTGTATGAAATCCAAAAAAGTGGTTCTTGGAATTTCAGGCTGATGGCTCTTCTGTTCTCTACTGAAAGATTTTCCACTTCAGCTGGGCAACCCACTTTCTTCCTGCATGTTTTGGTACCAAGAAATGGTCTCTTAATTTGTGCACACTGTTGGGCATAAAGAGCTGATAGTTTGTATACACCATTTCAATTTCATTATCATGCTTTTCAAATTTTCATTCTTTGAAGTTTTTTACGTTTTTTTTCTTGAGTGAGCCATCAAAGCCTTACAGTACAGAAGAGTGAGGGGAAAAGATTTGGTGTTTTAATTTTAGACAGCAGTTGTTAGATTGGAGAGAAAACATTTGAGGAGGTAGGTGAAAGAGACAGGGAAAATGAGCCAGGGAATGTGTTGGGCCACTTAAACCAGACCAATCACAAATGCATTCACCATGGAGAAGTAAATCTGAGCCTCAATTCCATCTATCTGCATGACAACTGTTCTTCAAATGGTGGTTCACGCTTATATAATTTTAAAAATTTAAGAAAGGGGGCTAACTGTGTCTGAATTCAATGTTTATGCAAGCATGTTCTGGAAGGAATTTTCCTTCCAAAATATAAAAATTCAGCATGCCTGGCAGAAAGGATTTGGTAAGGGACAGAGAGAAGCATTTTTTGTCATTATGTTAATGTACTACCCCAGCTTCACTATTGATTCCCACAGCCCTTGAGTTGCCAGGCTTTCTCTCACTCTCAGGTCAATTCCTCTGCGTGTGGTGCACAGAGAGCCCACTTCAACAGGGAGCCTTGACTGATGAACGTAGACATATAGACTGGGCCATTCCCACACACATCAGAAACAATAATCTCAGGACTGTTTCGCATTTTTTCTATTTCAAATCCAGGCTGTGCGTTTTTTAGTTTGAGCTCTTTGATTTTATTCAGGGACAGCAGTGCAAGGGAAGCTGAAAAACTGTTCCACCAGGCTTCAAGCATATGCCTGGATTTGTTTACCATAAACAAAATCTTCTCGGCGACTGTTACTGTCACCATAGCAACAAGATTGAGGTTACATCTATCAACAAAGCACCACATAAGGCGAAGGCAAGCAGTTAATAAAGAAGAGCAATGATAATTACACAGCAACCAGCCGCCAGCTCAAACACAGTGGCCTTTTTTTTTTTTTCCAAATTCTAGTTCCATTTTTGATGTAGAAATGGAAAGTATAACTCAAAAGGCATTGGATGCCCATTTCTGGAGTCATCTGGGAGACAGAAAAATAAACAGCTGGAACTTCTCCATAGATCTTAGCTCTATGGCATAACCCTGTTAGTAGATTTATCTACCTCAGTAAGGTAAAACTGCCTCATTAATGATTAAGAAAAGGAAATCAGAAATGGCTGTGGAAAAATCAATTTCTGATTTAAAATATAATGAAACAAAATCCCAAAGATCAAGAATGGGCTTACAGAGGAAAGTGAAATTAAAAGGATATAACTTCATGTGCTCTTCGTTGAAACAAGTAGATTTAGGTGAATTGAATTCATAGCTCATAAGTTTTATCTACTATTGATCAAGCATCTTATGCCCTATTTTTATACCCATAGTTTCATACTTTAATTTCAAATAAACAAAACCATATCAAAGAGATACAGGGAAGATACAAAAAATGTATAACATTGATTCATTCACTAAACTTTAATTGGATATTGAGTATGAGTCAGACATTATACTAATCCTAAAAGATGCTAAAAAACACATAGATTACCCATTTTCAGAGATCTTGATAATTTTCACTATTTTGCAAAACTGTATAAGTCAGGCCGGATAATACATATAAAACAAAGTTCTGAGAGTGATATTGACAAAATACAGAAAAGGCAATGCTATATTTTACTAGGTGATTTTTTTTTTACCAAATTTGAAGTGAACTGTATTCAGCCTGCCCTAGAAAATTCAGAATATCTTCAGGTGGAGAATATGATCTCAAAGGTAAAATGGACAAAGTATCCTCATAAATCTCAGCACCAACTTTTACATCTTCATCTTTTCCTTCACCATAATTTTCATGGCTAAACACATGATCTTTCCACGTCGACTGAGGCATTAATCTAGACACAGCAAGATGTGTTACCAATTGACCTATATATTAGTTTTGTAGGGCTTCCATAACAAATTTCCAAAAACTGGGGTGACTTAAAACAACAGAAATGCATACTCTCACAGTTCTAAGAGCTGCATATCAAAATCAAGGTGTACACAAGTTCATGCTCCCTATGAAAGCTCTAGGGAAGAAACCTTCCTTTGCCTCTTCCACCTTCCGGTGGTTGTTAGCATTTCTCCTCATTTCTTGCTTTGCAGGCTCATACCTCCAGTCTTTACCTCCATCCTCCCATAGTCTTCTCCATGTCTGCCAACTTCTTCCCTTTCCCTGTCCATCCTCCCTGCTCCTAAATCTCTGGTAACTGCCATTCTATTCTCTGCTTCTATGAGCTCAACTTTTTAAGATTCCACATATAAGTGAGATAATACAGTATTTGTATAATAATATGTATCTGTGCCTGACTTATTTTGGCCAACATAATGTCCTGCAGGTTCATCCATGTTGTCACAAATGACAAGATAAAATTTCTTCATTTTTTTAATGCTGAATAATATTCCATAGTGTATGTGTACATTAAATTTTAAAAATCCATTTGTTTGCTGATAGACATTTAATGATTGTTTTTTTATCTTAGCTATTGTGAATTTGGCATATAGACCTTTGGTATACAGACATATCTTCAACATACTGATTTAAATTCCCTTTGATATATACCAAAACGTGGAATTGCTGAATATGATAATCCTATTTTCAGTTTTTTGAGGAACTTCATGCTGTTTTTCAAAATGGCTGTGCCAATTTATAATACCATCAACAGGGTTCCTTTTTCTCCACATTCTTGCCAACATTTGTGATCTTTTATTCTTTACATAGTAACCTATTTAACAGGGGTGAGGTGATATCTCACTGTAATTTTAATTTGCAATTTTCTGATGACTAGAGATGTATGACTTTTTTAACTATCTATTGGCCTTTTGTATATCTTCTGTTGAGGAATGTCTATTCAAGTTTTTAGCCTATTTTTTAATAGGGTTATTTGTTTTCTTGTTATTGAGTAGTTTTAGTTTCTCATATATTTTGGAGATTAGCCCCTAATCAAAGTATGACTGACAAATAGTTTCTCCCAATCCGTGGGTTTTCTTATCACTATGTTGTTTCCTTTGCTGTGTAGACACTTTTTAGTTTGATGCAATTCCACTAGTATGTTTTTCCTTCTGTTGCTTGGGCTATCCAAGAAATCACTTCCCAGATCAATGTCATGCAACTTTTCCCCTATGTAATCCTCTAGTAGTTTTATAGCTTTAGATCTATACCATAAATATGTAGGTTTATTTCTGGGCTCTCTATCCTATTCTAGTGGTCAATTTATCAGTTTTTATGCCATTACCATGTTTCCTTGATTACTATAGTTTTGTAATATATTTTGAAAACTAATCGTGGGAAGACTCCATGTATATACATTTTGGACAAGATAGCTTTGGCTATTTGGGGACTTTTGTGGTTCCATTCAAATTTTAGGATTAAAATTTTTATTTTACTCTACATTTAAGGGTTACATGTGCAGGGTTCTTATGTGGGTATATTGCCTGATGCTGAGGTTTGGGCTTCTAATAATCCTAACATTCTACTATGTTCAAGCAGTGAACATAGTATCTGATAGGTAGTTTTCCAATCATTTCCCCTTCTCTCCCTTTCCACTTTTAGAATCCTCAGTGTTTATTGTTCCCATTTTTGTGTCTGTGTGTAACCAATGTTTAGCTCCCACTTATAAGTAAAAACATACAGTTTTTGGTTTGCTGTTTCTGTAATTCACTTAAGGATAATGACCTGTAGCTGTATTCATGTTGCTCCAAAGGATAAGATTTTGTTCTTTTTTAGAGTTGTACAGTATTCCATGGTGTATACTTACCACATTTTAAAAAGTCCTATCCACTGTTGATGGAAACCTGGGTAGATTCCATGTCTTAGCTATTGTGAATAGTACTACTATAAAAAGGTATGCAATGCTGCATGAATTTGCATATCATCCTTGCACAGTAGCCATGCTAATCTTTTCTATATTGTTCTAATTTCAGTAGATATGCTACCCAAGCAAGCAAAATTTTAGGATTTTTTTCCCTATGTTTATAACAAATGACATCAGAATTTTAAAACAGATTGCATTGAATCTGTGGTTCCCTTTGGGCAGTGTGGACATTTAAATATTAATTCAATCCATGAACACAGACATCTTTCCACTTATTAATGTTTGTATAGTCTAATTTATTTCCTCAATGTTTTAATGTTTCTGGTATAGAGATCTTTTACTTCCTTGTTCACATTTACTCCCAAGTAGCTTATAGGTTTACTTATTTTTGATGCAATTGTAAATCAAATAGTTCTCCTGATTTTTTTCTCATAGTTCAATTTTGTGGCTAAATCATCCTTTCAGCTTTACATAGTCCATGGACGCTAACAAAGTAATAGTTTATATCCCAAAATATCTAGAGTATCCTCAGAGACCCTCTACAAGCTGCTATGCACTCATCTATACTCAAATGTCTGGGAAATCCTGGTCAACCTTATTCACCACCCTAATGTTCATATTGCGCAGAATAAAAATATAAAGGCCAGGAACCTAACTGGACAAAAGATGGTTTTTGGAGTTGCCTTGAGAACCTCTTACCTCATCTGTCTTCCAGTGGTGCTTCTTCCCAGCTGCAGTCTTATCTGAACACTTTCACTTACCAAAGATTAAACCTTGAATGTGCTTTTTAGATACACAATAGCCATACTTCTCAGCTTCCCAGAACACTTCTCCAGACAGGTATAGAACATGTCATGAAACAGGTAAACATGACAGATATATGAAACAGATTGAAAGTAATTCTGGGTCTGAGATAAGGAGGACTTGGGAAATTTTTAACATTCTGATTCCTAATTATATATATATGTGTGTGTGTATGTGTGTGTGTGTGTGTGTGTGTTCACATATATATGTTTGTGTGTATATGTGTGTATACACATATATATGTGTATATATGTATACATACACATTCTGGGTCTGAGATAAGGAACGCCTGGGAAATTTTTAACATTCTGATTCCTAATTTTATGTGTGTATGTGTGTGTGTGCACATATATATGTGTATGTGTACACACACACACACACACATATATAGATATACATATATCTTTATATATAGATATATATATAGATATATAGATATATATAGAGAGAGACAGCCATCTTAGTGATTCCCAGGACTGCCTTTGATGTGGGGAACTCATCTCACGCACAGTCTAGGTTTTGTACCTTTCCCCTTTCTCCAGCTGACGTCACTTCACGATGTCTCCAGGACACTGTACCTACTATAGCTCTTCTGAAAAAATGTAGGCAGATTTGTTTTCTTCTTCTCCCCAAAGTTCCCACACAAACCAGCAACCAAATCTGATAAAATACTTCTTTTTCTTTCTTTTTTTGTTTTGTTTTTAAGCAAAAGCATTTAAAATAAAACTCGTTAAGATGCTATGGAAAAATAAATAATAAAGGAAAACATCAAAGCAAATTGCAGTTTTCTGATTCTGTGATGACAAGTGACATAAATTATCAGATATTCACTCTTGGTTCATGTACGGCCCCTAACAAGTTGGGTCCTGGTACAGTCTATCTAGAAAAATAGTTCTATAGAACTATATTTTGGTATGTGAGACTCTCTGTTTCTTCACTCCTTGTCCCAAACAAGCTCTAGGGATTGATCACATGTTACTTAAGTGCTTGCTGCAATGGGGATTTAGGGGGTTCTCTAATTTTCAGCTTCTGGAGGCAGAAATACTTAAACTGTCCCAACATCTCCCACCCCTTCCAGTTTCAGGTCTGCACCCACTGACTTCATCATATATTACTTTTGTCTGGAAATCTCTAGTTATATGCCCTTAGAAATTCTGTTGTAAGTCTTTACCATTCATTTATTTAAGCTAGAGTCCTGTTATATATCATGTTCCCTTTCATCTGGCTCAGTTTAATAATATTCTTAAACTACACCAAGGTTACTTTCATCTAGGAGTATCTGTTGCCATTGGACAATTCCTTCAGAATTGTAGGTTAGAAGCATTACTAGTATTTTTCCCTTTTTGTGGCTCCTCTTGCCCATCACTAAATTTTCTCTGATGAACATATGTATAAATATTCTGTATTCTGATAGTTAATTTTGTTGGTTTTCCCATTGTGATTATTTTAGTGTGCTGTATAAGAAATGTTTTTCCTGTGATGAAATAATATATACATTATCCCATATTATCTTCTAGAAATTTCATCATTTTTCTTTTACACTTTAGACTGACAATAAACCTACATTTAATATTTGTGAATGTGTGAGTAGGGATCAATTTTATTACTTTTTCATAAGAATAGTTGATTGTCCAATCATATTCATTCAAAGATTGTTTATTTTGCACTGCTCTGCAGTGTCAGGACAGTCATCATAGGTCCATATTGTCATTGGCCTGTTTCTGGACTCTAATCATTTGGCCTTTTGTCTGCTCTTAGCTTAAATCTATCACGATCTAATTTCTGTATATTTATAAGTATTGCCATCTAATATAGCATGTATTCACTCAATTTTTCCTTCTTAAGGACTTTTTCAGCTCTTCTTGACTCTTTGCATTATCACATACATTTTCTTTATTATTATTATTATTATACTTTAAGTTCTGGGATACACGTGCAGAAAGTGCAGGTTTATTACATAGGTATACACGTGCCATAGTGGTTTGCTGCATCCATCTGTCATCATCTACATTAGGTATTTATCCTAATGTTATCCCTTCTCAATCCCCCTATCCCCCGCTATCCCTCCCCTAATCCCCCCACCCCCCAATAGGCCCCAGTATGTGATGTTCCCCTACCTGTATCCATATGTTCTCAGTGTTCAACATCCACTTATGAGTGAGAACATGTGGTGTTTGGTTTTCTGTTCTTGCGTCAGTTTGCTGAGAATGATGGTTTCCAGCTTAACCCATGTCCCTGCAAAGGACATAAACTCATCGTCTTTTATGGCTGCACAGTATTCCGTGGTGTATATGTGCCACATTTTCTTTATCTAGTATATCTTTGATGGGCATTTCAGTTGGTTCCAAGTCTTTGCTATTGTGAACAGTGCCACAATAAACATACGTGTGCATGTGTCTTTATAGTTGAATGTTTTATAATACTTTGTGTATGTACCCAGTAATGGGATTACTGCATCAAATGGTATTTCTAGTTCCAGATCCTTGAAGAATTGCTATACTGTCTTCCACAGTGGTTGAGCTAATTTACACTCCCACCAACAGTGTAAAAGTGTTCCTATTTCTCCACATCCTCTCCAGCATCTGTTGTCTCCTGATTTTTTAATGATTACTATTCTAACTGGTGTGAGATAGTATATCAATGTGATTTTGATTTGCATTTCTCTAATGACCAGTGATGACGAGCTTTTTTTTCATGTTTTTTTTTGTTGCATAAATGTCTTCTTTTGAGAATTGTCTGTTCATAACCTTTGCCTACTTTTTGATGGGGTTTTTTTCTTATAAATTTGTTAAGTTCTTTGTAGATTCTGGTTATTAGCCATTGTCAGATGGGTAGATTGCAAAAATTTTTTCCCATTCTGTTGGTTGCTGGTTCACTCTAATGATAGTTTATTTTGCTGTGTAGATCTCTTAAGTTTAATTAGATCCCATTTGTCTATTTTGGCTTTTGTTGCCCATTGCTCTTGGTGTTTTAGTAGTGAAGTCCTTGCCTATGCCTCTGTCCTGAATAGTATTGCCTAGGTCTCTTACATGGTTTTTATGGTGTTAGGTCTATGTCTAAATCTTTAATCAATCTGGAATTAATTTTTGTATAAGGTGTAAAGAAGGGATCCAGTTCCAGCTTTCTGCATATGGCTAGCTAGTTTACCCAACACCATTTATTAAATAGGGAATCCTTTCTCCATTGCTTGTTTTTGTCAGGTTTGTCAAAGATCAGATGGTTGTAGATGTGTGGTGTTACTTCTGAGGCTTCCATTCTGTTCCATTGGTCTATATCTCTGTTTGGGTACCAGTGCCATGCTATTTTGATTACTGTAGCTTTGTAGTATAGTTTGAAGTCAGGTAGCATGATGCCTCCACCTTTGTTTTGTTTTGTTTTGCTTAGGATTGACTTGGGCTGTCCTATGGGCTGTTTTTTGATTCTATATGAAGTTTAAGGTGGTTTTTTCCAATTCTGTGAAGAAAGTTAATGGTAACTTGATGGGGATAGCATTGAATCTATAAATTGCTTTGGGTAGTTTGGCCATTTTCAGGATATTGATTCTTCCCAACCATGAGCATGGAATGTTTTTCCATCTGTCTGTGTCCTCTCTTATTTCCTTGAGCAATGGTTTGCAGTTCTCCTCAAAGGGTTCCTTCATATCCCTTGTTAGTTGTATTCCTAGGTATTTTATTCTCTTTGTAGCAATTGTGAATAGAATTTCACTCATGGTTTGGCTCTCTGTTTGTCTGTTATTGGTGTATAGGAATGCTTGTGATTTTTGCACATTTATTTTGTATCCTGTGGCTTTGCTGAAGTTGCTTATCAGCTGAAGGACATTTTGGGCTGAGATGATGGGGTCTTCTAAGTATACAATCATGTCATCTGCAAATAGAGACAATTTGACTTCCTCTTTTCCTAAATTAATACACTTTATTTCTTTTTCTTGCCTGATTGCCCTGGCCAGAACTTCCAATACTATATTGAATAGGTGTGGTGAGAGACGGCATCCTTGTCTTGTGCCAGTTTTCAGAGTGAATGCTTCCAGGTTTTCCCATTCAGTATGATATTGGTTGTGGGTTTGTCATAAATAGCTTTTATTATTTTGAGATACATTTTATCAATATCTAGTTTATTGGGAGTTTTTAGCATAAAAGGCTATTGAATTTTGTAGAAGACCTTCTCTGCATCTATTGAGATAGCCATATGGTTTTTGTCTTTGGTTCTGTTTATGTGATGGATTACATTTATAGACTTGCGTATATTAAACCAGGCTTGCCTCCCAGGGATGAAGCCGATTTGTTTGTAACGGATAGGCTTTTTCATGTGCTGCTGGATTTGGTTTG